CCAGTGATAAGTCAATAAAGCTCAAATTACCGGTATTATTGTCCACCCGCGTTGGACTACCGCGGACTAGATCAGACTCATTAATCAACTTAACTCCTTGCTCACCTCTACCATCCACCCACAGAGAACCCCATAACGTATGATGAGCATTAAAATCACCTAAAATTAGTTTATTTTGTGGCAGACGTTCCTGAAGAGCAAAAAGCTCATCATAGATTATCACTGTATCAGGTGGACAATAAACTGAACATATAGCCAGATACGTGCCATTAATTTTTACTTTGCATGCGACAAACTCCAAAGTAGAATCAAAAGTTACTTCTGTAAAAGGGAGGTTTTGGTGGATGTACATGGCGACTCCGCTTCCACTCCTACCCTCATGATCCTTCCGACACAGATGGTAGTTCCTCAAGGAAACGACCTCGTCAGAGACGAATTGTGTTAAATGGGTTTCTTGAAGAACTATGATATCGGGAGCATAGGACGAGGCTAATAATTTAATGTCATTTACTTTAGATCTAATACTTCGACAGTTCCATTGTATAATGGTTAACGTGAAGATTACGTTTTATGGGGTTTGGGAGTGCCTTGTCCGCCAGTTTTAATTTTCTTTTTCTAGGAGGGAGGTTCTTCCTCCTCTCCCTCGCTACCCATGGGCCTCCCATGGGTATTTTTGGAGACAGGAGCCTCCATGTCCTGCGTCTCACTGCCAGGGAGACGCCCGGTGGAAGATGATCTGTTCCGAGAAACAGACCAAACACCAGGCGAAGTCCTAGCAGGAGCCGCCTGGACGAGAAGGTGCGGCCCAGATTGTGTTTTGGTATCATCCTCCTTATGATGCTGCTGCTTTTGCTGGGTTGATTCAGCAATTTGTTGAATTGTATTTTTCAATTCTTTGATTTGACTCATTAAATCCTTGACCGTTTCCTTTAACTCTGCAATTTCTTTATCCTTAGCTGCAAGTTCCTGACAAATGCTTCCTGCACTGGGACCGTTGTTAGTTGCTACTGAAGCGTAGGAAGTATTGGGTTTGCTGGTCAAACCTTCAACTTTCCTCTTGGCTTCACGGTAACTAACTCTCATGTATGCTAATATTTTAGTCTCCTTCAAGCTGCTGCACTCGGCAGCGCCAGATTGATGGGACCTCCACAGTTAGCACGCTTGAGAGTTTTCTCAGTACATACAGAAGTGTCATGATCTCCAGCACATTTACCACAAGTAAATTTACTAGAATCTTTATCATTGCATCATAATGAGGTGTGTCCAAAATTTTGGCATCTATTACAGCGCATAGGTTTTTGAATGTAAGGTCGCACTTGGACACGTTCATATCCAACTGTGACATACTCAGGAATTTTACTTGAAGCAAAAGTCAAAAAGCACAGTCCGGTTTTTGTTCGCACATTCCCGTCTTTCTTGGTCATGCAGTTCACATCCACTACGCTTTGGTCCTTCATATTTTCCAGAATTTCACTCTCCTCCATTATTCTCAAATCCCTGCTAAATCTGGGAGTTGAATTGCACTTTTACAAGGTGTCTACCATCTCGCAATTTTCTGACGAAATCAAAATCACCGTCCACTTGACCATCAAGGACCTTCTTGATGATGAAGGGGCTCACATTCAAAAGCGATTGATTTCCATTCACGCATTTGACAGTCAAATACGTTGCATTCTCTGGAGGGATTGAAAAGAATCGTCGTTCTCGTTTGTCAGCAGTAGGGGTTCTGTTGTTCATGGTCGCATTAGTCGTAGAAGAGTCGTCCCCTCTCCTTGAGGAGGAGAAGGGGTAGCCACGGGATCAATCATGGTATGGGGATAGACTGGGGATAGCTGAAAGACTGATGTGCACACGTGGAGCCATCTGTATGTAACAAAACTCACTCACTCACAGTAACTAAACCCGATGACATTGGGTTAATCTCAGACAACTGGATAATTTCAAAGATCACAAGCATTTACTTGTCTTGGTGCCTGTAATATATTAACAGATCAAGATTCAGCCATTGATTTGATATTGTTGAGCCTGTAAGGTTATATAGCGATACAAAATAATTATGAAGATATTCATCCCACCGAAGACAATACCATGTCATATGACTCAAACACATTGGCAGTTCTTACTATGTTTCAGTGACTTCAAATTTTACCCATCTAAGAGTGATGTGCTGCTAAAAAAGGCACAGAAACATTCTATACACCCTTATATAAGAATCTTATTAAGAAACTTACAATGCGATTCGTAATTAATATCAATATGGTGTCCTAACCATGTATACAGAACTTTTACACTACCGTCCCAGGGAACAGCATTGCCAGACGTATCTGAATGTGAAAAGCATATCTAATGAAATCGGAATAATTTGGGCGTGGTCACGAGAGGATCGGAGGGAAGGGAAGAACCGCATGGTATGGTGAGATTCTGACAATGGTGACGATTATGATAGTAATGATAATAATAACAACAACAACAACTCTTTGTCTCTCTCTCTCTCTCTCTC